CTCCGTCAAAATTGGGAGACGGAACTGTGCTAAATCGCACTGTCACCTACCTATAAGGTGCTCAAGGCTCTTGCAACGGCAGGCGTATCTTGCGCTCCTTGCCACGAGGAATTTAGTGGGCTGGGATGACGTTACTGTCAGGCAAGTGAGCATAAGTAACAATAAAACAACAACAATTCATATTATTGGACATTTTGGTACATAAAGCCTCGATTTAGTTTCCGCACCATTCAGACGGTACACTTTATCGCTCTTTATTTACCTTTTCAAGGCAAAGTAACGCATCTGCAAGCATTAGCTCCGATGACTCTGCGGTTTCCTCAGTGATAGGGTCTGATGACTTTGTTGACACTGTTTGGATCCAATCGTCAACTGAATGCGGAATTCCAATACACTTACAAAGTTTGATCTTCTTTGGTAGAATAATAATCTAATATCAAATTCCTAACAGACTTGGAGATAATTATCGCTGCGTCTGAAGTTAACCACAGTGACTTGAGAAGGTTAAAATAACCTTTTTACTAAGCCAGAACTTTAACATCAACGCACTTCTCATACTAACAGGGTCAACCGCCACTTGCGGCGATGTCACTTAAAAGTTACAGTGAAATTTAAACTTAGTAGTCAAAAACTACATAATCGATTTTAAATTCTAAAAAGTTGGCTAGGAGCATCTCAACGGCCTAACAATTAAATGTCGACAGCAATAAGGCAAAGCCGAAGCAATTGCAATCTTATCAGAATGGATTTTTATCTTATCAGAATTGCAATCTTATGAGAACTTAACAGAATGGATCAAAATTGCAATCTTATCAGAAATTAGAATGGATTCTTATCTTATCAGAAGTTTATTCTAATCAGAACTTATCAGATTGAATTCTTATCTTCTCAGAACTTATCTATCAGAATAGATCAAAATTGCAATCTTATCAGAAATTAGAATGGATTCTTATCTTATCAGAAGTTTATTCTAATCAGAACTTATCAGAATGAATTCTTATCTTCTCAGAACTTATCAGAATGGATCAAAATTGCAATCTTATCAGAACTTACAAGAATGGATCAAAATTGCAATCTTATCAGAACTTATAAGAATGGATCAAAATTGCAATCTTATCAGAACTTAGAATGGATTCTTATCTTATCAGAATTGTATTCTAATCAGAACTTATCAGAATGAATTCTTATCTTCTCAGAACTTATCAGAATGGATTCTTATCTTATCCGAACCGGCGAAACAGAGTAACGTGGCCTCCAAAGACCTGTCTTACAATCCAAAATCTCAACTTAAATCCTCTAATTAATTAACATTTCTGGTGAGGAAACAACAACAACAAAAAAAAAAAAGAGCAGTTACAGTAAAGGCCCTAAATCAGAATAATTGGTTAATTAAAACAATAATAACCCTATGCACTTCCACGGATATTAAGCAGTCAGGTACTGATATCACTGTTTTAATTTCAAGATATTACGGACAATATACACTTCATCACACGGAAAAGATCATCAAAGAATGAGTGTTGCATTTTGTGCCAGTAACAAGCAAATGGTACCTTGAGTATTCGCAGTTTTAATGTAAATCAATCAATCAATAAATAAATAATGTTGCAGGAACTTTATTAATGTAATGATCTCACTAAAACTCTAATGCAAAAAGTAAACTACGTTTGAAAAACCACTCTATCAACAGCTCTCATAATCAAGATCTCAAATCGAAAGAAAACAACCACTTTCAACGAAGACAAATCTAACGATCAGCTTATTTGTGAAGCCACATAGAATCCAATCAAATTAAGCTTCAGTAAAACTTTCAAATCTTTCAAAATAAATTTCTCGAAGCTCAAGATGCTAAGAAATTTTCATAGGTGTTTCAAAAAATATTTACAAATTTAAATAAAATAGTTTCCCAAACAGACTGCGGTATTAGCATTCCATAACTTTAAATCCAATCATATCATAACACTTAAGTCTAGTAAATACATTTTATTTGGTAAAGAAAACCAAATAAAAATATCAATAGCAAATCCATACAGTGATTGAAAATCTAGCTACAAATTACAACACGCATCATCCGTAAATTAGAATATTTTCATTAAACAAAGAATTGGCGAAATGCAAACAATAAATGAACATGAAACCTGATTCATTTTTAACAAAATTACATCGAAACGAGTAGAAGATGACGCATTTGTTGTTACTAATCTGGAACACCAAGTAGCGAACTACTAACGAACCGTTCGAAACATGACGTAAATGAACAGAATTGTTGGATCGACACTAAGCAGGTACTTATAAGCCTAATTAACATCTATTGATTGAATGCATTCAAATGTACGCAAGATAGATGAGCATGCAGCAAATGGTTGTCCCAGCAAAACAGATTGAGACACGCCACAGATTAAGAACTTCATTTAGATAATAACATGTCCATTTCGTAACCATAATACGCCAGCTTTTAAAGAGCAATACTATATAACGATATTGCATATACACATGCTGTTCCACAGTTAAATCAACCAAGTATGCAAGTAGTGTCAAATAGTTATTTGACTTAAATAGACACTATAAAGTCATATCGAATCAGCATCGCAAGTATCTGCATGCAAGAGCTACGATTTAAACGAATCCATAAGCTAATTTGGCACATAAATTCAAACAGATGTTTAAATATGTTAATGCCACCCGAAATTAATACAAAATCATAAACTAATTGAAGCTTCTACGTTTGAGTGCAGAATATTTGGAGCTATATAGAGTGGAGCATTGTGAGAGTGCCGCTGGCACCAACAGAGAAAAAAAAAATGAACATCAAATCCACTGAACTCATTATCCATTCAAAGTCAAGATTTTAAGATGATTACTCATAATCTCAAAATATTAAAGTACTCACTCTAAAACAGTTACATACACATACACACAAAAGAAGTCCGTCACAGATTTAAAATGTTGTTAAGTTTCTCACATTAAGCATGCATCTCCCAAAAACTGCACAACTGCGTTGCCTATGTAACAATTCTGTATCTGGCAGAATTTGGCATTATTTGCGCGAAACGACAACCACATAAATATCTCGTATTTTTCGTACAATGCTCTATTAGGGCATAAGATATATTCAAAGAAGAATTTAATATCGAATCTAATGTAATTTCAGAATAAATCTGAATTCAGCGCAAAAGACTTCTTCACAATAATGTTCAGAAACTTAAACTTTTCAAACTGATGAAATGTTATGACAAAACCCGGTGATTAATCTGCTGGAATAAACGATGCTCAACCACGGGAGATTAATTCAATGAATCATTCTCCACATTTCAACCATACATTAAATTCATCCACAGCTTTCGGACTTTGTAGCTAAGGGGCAAGAATCTGGATCGAATTATCAAATACATCATTGAATTTGCATTTTACATTGCTTCAAATTAGAAAGCAGAACTTGTTGAATAAAGACTGTTAGCTCATGGAAGAAACTTTACATAAGATGGCCATTCCACGAACTACTACACTAAACGATTTTTCCTCATCCTCTGATCCAGTTACATTCTAAGTCTAAATGACATAAACATTGTCTTGGATAAGAAAGAGATAATTTAAAGATCACACATTCCGGGCATGTGGATATTGTCTCTATATAAAGATGCATAAGATGACTATCATGTTAAAATCTCCTCTATTCCAGATCTGGATTAAAAAGTGAAGATAATGCACAAGATTGTACAGATTTCACATATGATTCATCTAAGTCAATTACACATATGATTCACCTAAGTCAAAATTTCATCAACTAAATATCTCGCACATAACCAATCAAACGCTGAGATGCGGCATATTAGAGCACGAGTTCCCTCAAATATTGTCCTTTCGCTCTCAACATTGAGAATAAATCGAATAGAATTCTGTTATACACTTCGAAAAATTGTGATCATTTTTCAAAAGAATTCTGTTATACACTTCGAAAAATTGTGATCATTTTTCAAACCCAGTGGGTATACGTCTCCAAACTCCTAAGACGATTAAATCACAAAAATTTAAAGTGTTACTCATTTGATGCTTGAATATTTTAAATAAGATCGCTCATTCAGAATAGAATAAACCTGCCCATTCGTTCTGTGCGTTTAATTTCATCGCTATATCAATTAAATTCACCTGTACTACACATACTAAATTGACTTTTGCGATGAAAACTGAATTTTTATACAAGTACTGTCCATCTCCTTTGCTGGCATGCTTCGCAGCATTTCGTAAAAGATTCCCGTTTTACATATGTATGTCGCCAGGAAAATTTCTTTTTTGTTGCTTCAGAAAATTTTCACTTTGCCCAAGAAAATAACTTTTACACTATGATAATCCTTCAATGACGGCCTAAGCATCACGGTTCCTCGTGCATTAGAAGTTCTATTTATGAAGTTATTCCCGTTCTCAAATAAAATTACGTCAGACTCTGACAAAATTTTCTTTTCTGAACTCCAAAGGTCTGTTTCTATTCTATAAATGTTAAAATAGCAATATATTTAAAGGAAGAAATGTTCTACAAAAGTCTAGTACACACTGAAAAAACCATCTTCCAAGTTGAGGAAACTACTCTACTCGACAAATTTTAAACTCGCACGCGAACACCGAAAATATTTTGCAAATTATGGATGCATCAAGCATTACACTGGCTATCAGCAAGATTAAAGGGTCAGTACATTTCAACATCACTGGCGCCTCCTTACGCATAAAACAAAATCTATTGCTCCTGAATTTCAAAAATACTTTGCCAAAAGCATAATTCACCGCCAATATGAAACCTAAATTGTATTAGTTATTTTTAAAAAGCTGAAAAAAACATGTTTTGAATCGTACTAAAGCATGAAGAGCCCATATATCTTTCCCCACAATCAGTTCCTTTTACATATCCCACCGCATAAAATCCTTTTCTGCAAAAATCGGAAAATTATTCTGTAATTTCCACAGAAATTTTCTACGAGGGACTGCATATCAAATGATAAGAAACTCACCAGTAAAGAGCAAGCGTGAGTAATCCGAGAAGACTCAGTCTTGGGTGCTGTAACCGCCGGGCTGACGGCAACCACCGATTCCGATAATCCACAAACAGGGAAGAGACAAGTCAAGGATCTCTCTGCACTGACCGTCACAAACCAACTGAAAACTCTCACGAGCATAAACTGGATTTACTAGCGTCCTCTGCCGACTACTCAGACATCGGCGCATGCGCCGAGAGGTGGAGCGGTCCACTCAGATGTAAAGGGAACTCTGGTTTTGATTTAGGGAGGGAAAGCATTTGTTTTGGTTTATCCTCCCAGCGTCTTCTCCTGGAAGGGCGAGAGTGAAAGAGGTGTCTCCGCGAAACTCATGTTATTTTAACTGCGTTACATATGACTTATTTTACTAAGCGATTGCGTTGTAAATGACAAATCTCTGAATAAAATAAGGAATATGTTATTTCTGATATATTTACTGTGCAACTGCGTTAGAAATTCCAAATCACTCAATTAAAAGAATATATTATTTTTGAGGTTTAGTTTACAGTTTAGGGATACAAGACACATAATATGGTTCAAATATTCGAATATTTGACTGCAATAAAAAGTTATTCGTTATGCTTAATGCGTACAATTCGTTTCTTAAGTTCGACATTACACTATGATTTTACGTATATAGGAATTCTACTACTGCCTTTTGACTAAACTATATTTCCCTTCTATTCCTCACAGACTGAATAATAAACACTTTTTCTGCAATTTTGAAGTTACTCAATTTCTAACTGGACATGGTAAATTCAATTCATATCTGAAGAGATTTAGATTACCTAGTACAGACTTGTGTTCATGCAGTTTCGGTGGAGTACAAAATGTCGAACATTTGTTTTTTTATTGTTCAAAGCTCAACGAAGGACGAAAGGAACTCATGAACTCATTTCTAGGTTAAACTCTGTGAATATTACATCCCCCCCGCCCTCTTCACGTATTTGTCCAACATAAAATGGCTTTCTCTTTCTTCTGTAAATTTATCTCTTACGTGTCATCTGTGAATTTGTAAGTTTATTTTATTTTGTGCTGTGTTGTAGTATTTGTTTGTTTTTTTACTTACCTCTGTAAGCCTTGTGTATACTATGTGGTGCACAAGGATTTAAAATTTCCAATTAAAAAAGATAATAAGTTATATCACATAACTTTCTTGACAAGAAATGACAAACGCAGTTACGAGCAATAAGTCAATGGTAGCAGGAAATTTTATTGTCCAGTAGTAATACAGCTCTTAAGAGATAATTAAAAGTGTAATGAATTTGGCATAATACAATTGCAGAATTAACTAGAAATATGGTATAAGCGTGGCGCTGATGCAAACAGCATACAATCCAGCTAAGAGTCTGGCTATGTGAATGGTCTGACTGCGGGGACCCCCAAAAGAGCTAGAATCTTGAACATAAAGTATCTTGAATGTTGGAACCGAAATACACAGTAACATTAAGATACAATAACATGCCGAACAAATATTAATTTAGACTTCTAAATTTAGCAGAGATGAGGAACCGAACTAATAAGTAGAAGATCATGCACAGAAGGGATGCTTGTGGCAGCTACACACAATCGGTCTGATTGCGAGAATCACAAAAGAACATCTAGTATCTAGTATCATCTAGCATCCTTTCTTAACATCTAGTATCTTGAACACTGGAACCGAAATATACAGTAACATGTTCCGCAGAGATTAAAAACCTAACTAGAAGATCATTCATAGGATGGATGCTTATGGCAGCTACACACAATCGGTCTGATTGCAAGAATCCCAAAAGACTCTAGAGTCCTGAACATCAAGAACCTTGAACATTGGGACTAAAATATACAGTAGTAACATGCTGAGCAGAGATTAGGAACCCGAACTAAGAAGATAGAGTTCCATGCACAGAATGGATGCTTTATGGCAGCTACACACAATCGGTCTGATTGCGAGAATCCCAAAAGAGTCTAACTTTCTGAACATCAAGTATCTTGAACATTGGGAACCGAAATGTACAGTAACATGTTCCGCAGAGATTAAAAACCTAACTAGAAGATAATTCATAGAAGACTAGGATGCTTATGGCATGCTACAACAGTAACATCGGTTGATTGCGAGAATCCCAAAAGAGTCTAGAATCCTGAACATCAAGTATCTTGAACATTGGAGCCGAAGTGTACAGTAACATGTTCCGCAGAGATTAAAAACCTAACTAGAAGATCATTCATAGAATGGATGCTTATGGCAGCTCCACACAATCGGTCTGATTGCGAGAATCCCAAAAGAGTCTAGCTTTCTGAACACCTAGTATCTTGAACACTGGAACCGAAATATACAGTAACATGTTCCGCAGAGATTAAAAACCTAACTAGAAGATCATTCCTAGAATGGATGCTTATGGCAGCTACACACAATCGGTCTGATTGCGAGAATCCCAAAAGAGTCTAGCTTTCTGAACACCTAGTATCTTGAACACTGAACCGAAATATACAGTAACATGTTCCGCAGAGATTAAAAACCTAACTAGAAGATCATTCATAGGATGGATGCTTATGGCAGCTACACACAATCGGTCTGATTGCAAGAATCCCAAAAGACTCTAGAGTCCTGAACATCAAGAACCTTGAACATTGGGACTAAAATGTACAGTAACATGCTGAGCAGAGATTAGGAACCGAACTAAGAAGTAGAAGTTCATGCACAGAATGGATGCTTATGGCAGCTACACACAATCGGTCTGATTGCGAGAATCCCAAAAGAGTCTAGAATCCTGAACATCAAGTATCTTGAACATTGGAGCCGAAGTGTACAGTAACTTGTTCAGTAGAGTTCAGAGACCGAACTAAAAAGTACATGATCATGAACAGAATGAATGCAGATGATGGCTACACACATATCGGTGGCTCTAGCATGATCATATGAATATCTGCTTGGGCATATGAAGGACTGTAAATCTCTTGAAATGCTTTCCGTTAAGGAAAATCAAGTGAATGGAAGAAAAGGTGATGAAGACTTTTTTGCAATGTTATGAAATGTGGGCTTTCGAGAAAAAAAAATGTGCATAGGAATCGCATACCGAAAGATAAAAGACAGGTAGGAAAAATTAAGCTACGAAACGAAGCTTCCACCTTTCTTTTTCCAAATAACTATAACAATATGCTAATTCATTTCTAGTTCTTCGCATCAGGGAAGAAATACGCAAATTTCCAAGCAATGCGAACTTTAAATATTGAGACGATATTTTTTAGTCTTATAAAATCATGAAGATAAAAGCGCATAAGAAATTATAAGAATGGGAGTGGGTCAGTATTATATCGAGGGTTTTGAAATACTATATCTGGATTGCGAAGTATTTATTGTCTGATAAAGACATTCAAATTTCAGTTTACGAGAAAATTGAATTTTCTCTATCCTTCTTTCAACCCTATTCGAATGCCTATAATAAGTTTCAAGTTATAGTCAATTTGTCTGGCACGCAGTGTGGTTGCTCGGTTCTCGTTACGCTGTACGGCAGGAAAACAAACATTGACTTCTCGGATACCATTTTATCACAATCAGGAAGAAGTGTTGCTTCTCAAAGTCGGAAACAGGAGGCGCCTTTTTCTCCCAGCGGACCACGCGGATGACAAAGAAATTACTCCGCAGTCACTCTGTCACCTTCAGTGTTTGTTGTCAGCGGTCACTCGCCATTTTTAACCACAGCATAATTAGCCCGAAAGGGCTATAATTCTCGAAATGAGATTTTGCGTTGGTTCACTATAAATGGCGTATCATTTTTCACATTGTTGGTATCGAATATTATCACTCTGTATTATTTTTAAAGAAATTAAATTATGAAAAATTCGCATGTACGTATACATGTTTCTCGCATTGTGAAAAAGCGACAGTAAATAGAGCTATCAAATTTTGAATAACATATTTATTTCATATTTATTTAAGCCAAAATTTTGAAATTCGAATAGGTTTTATTACCCATTTCATATTTTGCAAAACTGTAATGAATTTTTGATTAACAGACTCAAGGATTTCAACGCGAGCAGCGGCAATATTGTACGAAACAAAGCATTTTTACCTCTAGCGCGCGAAACTGGCTATCGGAAGTTCTAAAGATATGCTCTTTTTAAATATTTTCTAATTTTGCTGTTGAGTATAATTTTGCGCGGCCTAAAAGCAAAGCACATGATATTTAATAAACAAACTAAACACACAAAAGATTAATAATAAAAAGACAAAAAAAAGAGTTGTGTAAAACCCTTTTGTAAGAAAACTGAACACTGATATGATAAACTGAGAAAAGCCTGGAAAAAAAAAAAAAAAAAAAAAAAAAAAAAAAAAAAAAAAACCTAGACTAAGATTAAAAAGAAATAAAAGCTTTCAGATTTTATATTAAGCCCAAAGGGGCGTTTTTTTAAGTTTTGTGTGTTGCCTTTATTAAATCATGTTCTTCGCACTTATAATATAAAATTCAATTCAACGGCAATATCACTAAATATTTAAAAGAACATACTTTCAGAATTTCAGATACACAGTCTCGCTCCCCTCCCCGTACGGTGTTGCCATTGTTCGCTTTGAAATAGCTGAGTTTGTTAATCAAAAATTCGTTAAAATGTTACAAAATATGAAATAGATAATAAAAACAAATTCCAAATTCCAAATTCCAAATTTGGGCTTCCAGATGTCCATATTCAAAATTGGATGGCTCTAGGTATCGTTCTTTTATCACAATGCGAGAAACACACATATATTTATGCAGATTCTTCATTATTTAATCTTTTTAAATATAATACAGAGCATATATTAGGTGGCAACAAGTTAAAAAGTGATTCGCCGTTTATACTGAATCAACGCAAAATGCCAAAACGAAACAAAACTAAACTAAACTATGCTGCTTCTAAAATTTTTGTATGTTTGTTGTTGAACTGGTATGGTATGGTGTAAGTACCAAGAAAGTGATTCTTAATTATAAAGTTAAAAAAGGGGGTAGTAGGAGTGAGCGTAACAGCAGATTGGTAGGCTGCGAGCTCAGCGAGAGCGAAAAAAACCTTAACAAACCCTTTTAGGAGACAGTTAAAATCTGAAACCTTTCAGATTATTATTATTATTATTTAAGAAAAAATTGCCAATTTACGCT